CCCCCCCCCCCCCGAAACGAAATCCTGGCTACGGGCCTGATGCCTGCTTAAGCAATTGTCAGTTGTAATTTAGCTAGCTTGGCTTAGTGGAATCCCTTCTGATAGTTTCTAATTTCTGTGTCACAACAGTCCATTTACATTTTCCCTACATGTTGGTGGGTCACAAAAGCTGGGTTTGAGGCTGTGGCTGAGAAGTGGATATGTTGATCTTCTGGAGGACTTCTAGCTCCTTTTGACAGATATCCAACCCCGGCCTTTTATAAGCCATCTATTTAAAGTCCTAAATCCAATTACTAATCCCAATTAAATTAGAACCCATTGAATCAATGGAATTTGCCTCAGTGTTGACTTACTATTCGGCAAATCACTCAATGAGTCTAGTATTGTCGAAACTAGTAGTTGGCCTTAGGCCAAATGTATTTACCTATCATAGCAAACATATTAAGATATGAGGCAGCTACATGGCATTTCATTTTAATATAAATTTGCATTGTCAGAAATATTTACTACTTGCTTCTTTACTAATGAGTTTTACAAACAGATGCTCACATAGTCACATAAATTTGGGATTCAAGTTGCTTTCTTAATATGCATTCACTTTTTTGTAAAGTAATCGTAAGTATAAACAACACGTCCCAGTGGGGACAATAAATCTGTGATAGAAGCATTTAACTGTATACCATAAATTAAATATGCATGTACACAATGATGTTAGGTATCTACCATCTTTTTATCTGCAGTGTTCCTCCTTACATCACTTTGAAGGTCCCATATCATCTTTCAAATCAGAGTCCTCCTGACTTCACTTCTGCCCTGATTAGATTACAGGTTCACGATTAGTGTTAAGCTTTACAGCAAAACCATTTAAAAGAAGAGCCAGATATACCCTCAAAGCTTTAAAAAATCTCTCCTGGGATGTCTTCCATATCTGACGACGTAAGAGAGGGACCTTATGGGAATTACATTTGTCATATGTTTCAGGGAGGTATGTTTTTGTAGAAATGTACTACTGTGTTCTAGGCAAAGAAATTAGGTGACCACACGGCTTATGGAGGTTGTGCTTAGAGTCAATACAGCATGCACAGTTATTTATAGGTTGGAAATGTTCCTGTTTTCACTGTTATATTTAAACTATCATGTGTTGCGCTAATTTGTAGGTTAATGCACCTCTTGTTTGCAGTGTCACAACTAAGGCAATATTTACTTTTTTGAGCTTAATGGCTTAAGAGTATAAAGATATTGAAACAGACAGATTCCAACTTGTTACTTCAAGTGAACGCTGTGTTGTCAATTAGAGACTGAACTGAACATGGCTTTTTTGCTTAATGTGACCTGGATTTGGCATTTAGCTTTGCCTGATCTGTGCTTCAGCAGCAGCAACAACAACAAAAAGACATAAGCGTTCAGAGGATTTCAGCTGTACTGTTTTAAGAGAAGCAAATTTTAATGCATTTCCCCTAATATCAGCATTTATTTATGAATTTTACTTGATATGCTTCATGTATGCATTTTACTCCATTGATGATTTTTCAGTGTAACTCACTTTGATCCTTTACATTCTATAATTCAGTCACCTTTAGTCCTTGTCTCAGGAGGAAGGCAGGATAAAGAATAAAGCAAATAAATAAAATATAACAAATGGATTATTTAGTGCATACTTTAGTCCATCAAAGTTCTACACAAAGTGCAATTTTTAAGTGAGATTTGTTTTTCTTGTGACATTACAGGAAGTATGAAATGCTCTTATTGAAATAACTCTGCTGAATCCATGAAAATGTTCAGTCCCTCCTCAAGGGCTAGTATATGAGTTATGGCAAATCCACGTTGACATTTATTCCAGATTTTCAAAGAAAGCATGCAAGGGCCTAAACTCTAAACTTAAAATAGCTTCAACACCTTGGATTGTATCTGTCAAATCTAAAATAAATCCCAGAAGAGATGGGAAATCCCTAATCACCTCTCCCTGCTTCAGAATCCTTTCAGCTCTTTTTTTGCTTTAAGCTTCGGTCATTTTTGTTGCTATGCCACACATTTGGGGGGGGGGGGGCATTTGGTGCCATGCTGGTTTGTTCCTTTCATTTCATTTGGTAGAACCAAACACTTGAAAGAGAATGTTATTTAAGGCTCATGAACTGAATCTGATAGAAGTCAGCAGTTTTCTTGAAGGTTTTTATGTCTGGAATCACTGGGTTGCTGTAGGTTTTTTGGGCTATATGGCCATGTTGTAGAAGCATTCTCTCCTGACATTTCACCTGCATCTATAGCAAGCATCCTCAGAGGTAGTGAGGTCTTGCCATAGATGTAAGTGAAACGTCAGGAGAGAATGCTTCTAGAATATGGCCATATAGCCCAAAAAACCTACAACAACCCAGTCAGCAGTTTATTTAATGACACGATGTCAGATGGACTGTACCTTGTAAGTCCAGGTTTCCATCTCAAACAAACAATTAAAACAACCTTATATATGGGCGAAGCCTCCCATTTTAAAACATCCTGGTATCCCCTAGGCAACTTCCTTGCAGACAGCCAATTCTCTCACACCAGAAGTGACTTGCTGTTTCTCAAGTCGCTCATAACATGGAAAAAAACGCCTAATCTCTAGAAGCTGATAACATTTTTTAAAATCTATTTTCTTTTTTTCTTTTTTTTAAAAGCTCTAATACACTTAGGTCTTATGTTCACTTTCTGACTTTCCCTCTGCAAAATACATTCTAGTGTGATTTTTTCTTCTAGCCTGAACAATTCAGGAACATGCTAGTTTTCCCTGTGCTAGGAGGAGAAGCAGGTTAGAAGTTCAGTCTTGAGGCATGGATATCATGAGGCAGAGAGGAGAGGTACAGGAAGCTCCTTTGATGTTCTTACTGTATTTATTCAGCAACTGCATGTTATGGAGAAGGAGAAGACTTTTTCATGCTATTTTCATTCCAGAAGTGCCAAAACAATATTATCTCAGAAACAGTGTCTCAGAACATATTTGTTTTTCTATATTTTGATTAGTTAGAATTATTTTCAACAATCCTATTTCATAGGTTCATGGGCAGATAGATCTCCACTTCATGAAGCTGCATTTCAAGGACGCCTGTTGTCTTTGAAAACATTGATAGCACAGGTAAGAACACCCAAGGTTGATGAAGTATATTCTTTTGCAAACAACGCAAATAAATAAAATGCCAAGTGTACGGATATGAAAAATATTAACAGTGCTTGCAAACACATAAATATTTCATGCAGAATCCACCTTCTTGTTAAAATTATTGAGTTTAAATAAGATAAAATTTGAAAACAGGGTTGTTTTTATTAGAAAATTCTAAATAAAACAACTAAAAGCTGTCATCTTATTGCAAAGAATTTAGTGGCCCCACTACTTCTGATTGAATATGTTTAGGATTGCATTGTAATATCTTCTATAAACTCTGGAATAGTGTTGTTACTTGCTAACAACAAGGCAGCAGGAGATGACGGGATCCCAGCTGAACTGTTTAAAATCTTAAAAGATGATGCTGTCAAGGTGATGCATGCACTTTGCCAGCAAATATGGAAAACACAAGAATGGCCATCAGACTGGAAAAAATCAACTTATATCCCCATACCAAAAAAGGGAAATGCGAAAGACTGCTCAACTTCCGTACAGTGGCCCTTATTTCTCATGCCAGTAAGGTAATGCTCAAGATCCTGCAAGGAAGACTCCAGCAATACATGGAGCGAGAGTTGCCAGATGTTCAAGCTGGGTTTAGAAAAGGCAGAGGAACGAGAGACCAGATTGCCAATATCCGCTGGATGGAGAAAGGCCGGGAGTTTCAGAAAAACATCTATTTCTGCTTCATTGACTATTCTAAAGCCTTTGACTGTGTGGATCATAATAAATTGTGGCAAGTTCTTGGTGGGATGGGCATCCCAAGCCACCTTGTCTCTCTCCTGAGGAATCTGTACAAGGACCAAGTAGCAACAGTCAGAACTGACCACGAACAACAGACTGGTTCAAGATTGGGAAAGGCGTACGGCAAGGCTGCATCCTCTCACCCAACCTTTTTAACTTGTATGCAGAACACATCATGCGATGTGCGGGGCTTGATGAATGCAAAGCTGGGGTGAAAATTGCTGGAAGAAACATTAGCAACCTCAGATATGCAGATGACACCACTCTGATGGCCGAAAGCGAGGAGGAGCTGAGGAGCCTTCTAATCAAGGTGAAAGAAGAAAGCGCAAAAGCCGGGTTGCAGCTAAACGTCAAAAAAACCAAGATTATGGCAACAAGAATGATTGATAACTGGAAAATAGAGGGAGAAACCGTGGAGGCCGTGACAGACTTTGTATTTCTAGGTGCAAAGATTACTGCAGATGCAGACTGTAGCCAGGAAATCAGAAGACGCTTACTTCTTGGGAGGAGAGCAATGTCCAATCTCGATAAAATAGTGAAGAGTAGAAACATCACACTGGCAACAAAGATTCGCATAGTTAAAGCAATGGTATTCCCCATAGTCACTTACAGATGTGAGAGCTGGACCATAGGGCTGAGCGAAGGAAGATAGATGCTTTTGAACTGTGGTGTTGGAGGAAAGTTCTGAGAGTGCCTTGGACTGCGAGAAGATCCAACCAGTCCATCCTCCAGGAAATTAAGCCCGACTACTCATTGGAGGGAAGGATATAGAGACAAAGTTGAAGTACTTTGGCCACATCATGAGGAGACAGCAAAGCCTGGAGAAGACAATTATGCTGGGGAAAGTGGAAGGTAAAAGGAAGAGGGGCCGACCAAGGGCAAGATGGATGGATGGCATCCTTGAAGCGACTGGACTGACCTTGGAGGAGCTGAGGGTGGTGACGGCCGACAGGGTGCTCTGGCGTGGGCTGGTCCATGAGGTCACGAAGAGTCGGAGACGACTGAACGAATGAACAACAACAACAACAGTGTTGTTACTAACTGGTTACATTGACAAATCGTAAATGATGATATTTGAAAATATATTTGCAATATAGTTGAAAAATCTTATTTTTACATGCAGGCGTTGTTATTCGGTTTCTAAAAATTTAGATACAATAAAATTTCCCTTTCGAGAACCTGATATCTTACCCACTTGCCAAAAAAATAATCCATCCCACAAGTATTTGTGGGCCTCTGTAGATCCTCCAGTGTTATTCCCTGGTCCAAGTGTAGTCAAAATATAGGACTTGCTATTAAATGCAGATTCAGATGTATACATGTTGTTTTGGAACTTATCTCCCACACTCATGCTGTTTGTATTTTCAACAGATCATTAAGCGAATTCTCATCTGTTTGTAGACTTGTTTTAGATATAAACTATACTAAAAATATTGGCTGGCATCCTGTTGGTGAATTTCAGTATATAGCAGACCAATTCAATCAATGGCGGAATGGTGAATCAACACATAGCTAAAGTTCATTGTTTCAACAGGTCTACTCAAGTCAGGATTAACAACAGTATTTCCACACATGAGGAAAAGTCTAGTAGACTGTAGTTGTGGAAGGAAGACAACTTCAAAATACAGGTTATTTATAGTATGAAAACATTTAATTTTTTTTCAATTTTCCATAATCTTTGCTCATAATCTGCTCACACAGCCATAGCCATGGAGACTTTTGGCAATTTGTTTTTGCTTGTCTTCACGCAAGTCAGTCATTCCCTGGGGTGGGGAAAAAAATCTAAGCTCACTAACACAACATTCAGCTACATGGATGTACTTATTTATCCAATAACCAGTCATTTTCCATTATAGGCATCTTAGCTATCACTGTGTTCATACTGCTGATGAGATTCCATGATTGAGTAATTTTTGATGTTAAAATTTATCTTCTTTCCTTCAGTTCCCCTTGATCTTCCTACAAATAATTCATTATCCTACACTTGAATTTTTATCATAAGTCTATGGAGCAGAAGGACAGTGGGTGGACCAACTCTATCGGCATTGTCAATACAATTATGAAAAGTGTCTAGGCTAGAACAGTAATTTTTTTCATGAAAACTTTTATTGATTTATAGATGTGAACACTATGCAGGGCATTTTATTTCATCCAAGAGTAAATCTCAGTTGCAGTAATGCTTTTTGTTATTATTGGGATAATTTCCACAACTCTCTCCTGAATTCCAGGGATTCAATGTGAATATTGTTACAATAGACCATGTTTCTGCCCTTCATGAAGCATGTCTGGGTGGCCATGTTGCCTGTGCGAAAGTATTGCTGGAACATGGTGCTCGGGTGAGTACTACAGTTTTCATCACCTTTGGGTATTATGAGAGATGCTTCCTTAAAGGGTATGGAGTAGGGGAAATAATTATATATTACTGGAAGTGTTGGTAGAAATGCAAAAAAGCAAAACAATATTGGAGACTGATATAACATCTGATAAAAGAGATCTTTAAAATCAGAATAAAGCTAGATCCAATTTTATTTCTATTGGGATTCCTAAATGAACAAACAAAAAGCATTGCATTATATTATTATATCAGCAAGATTACTGAAAACTGGAAAAATAAACACCATCAAAACTATGTAATAAAAACTGGAAAAATAAACACCATCAAAACTGGAAACTGGAAAAACTGGAAAAATAAACACCATCAAAACTATGTAATAAAAGAACTGGCAGAAATGGACAAGTCATCTTGTTTGATAAAGGAGAAGTCAACTTTTTTGAAAAATGAAAACCATTATATTTCACAATCTCTGAGGATGCCTGCGATAGATTCAGGTGAAATGTCAGAAGAGAATGCTTCTAGAGCATGGCCATACAGCCTGAAAAACCTACAACAACCCAACCACTATATCATTTATTTTAAAAAATGAAAATATAAAAATGCTCATAGGTTTGAAAGACTAAGTAAAATATTAGTATGATAATAATATATTTTTATCATATGTAAGGTGGGAAATCCATTTTAACTTTATAATTTCTATATTTTATTATTATTGGGCAGGGTGATTTAGTTTTAACAGGTTTATAACTAGTATAAGTCATGTATTGGGAAATTACTAACTTAACAAATTGTATAATGATACTTATATTGCCTGAAAAAAATCAATAAATGTATAGGTAAAAATATATTACTGGCCGTGTCATCACCAAAAGTTAAATGTTAAGTATCCTGACATCATATATATGCAGATAATATTAAGCACACAGCCTATAATCAGCAGCATTTGGAATATAGGCAGGAATTCTGTTTCATGTACTTAGTTAAGTGTAGGATGGAATGATGAAAATGTCATTTACTCATGCTTTGATAGTTGGCAGAATGGACCTCCTTCTCCCCATAGCAGCTCAGTAAAGTAGTTTTATGTTACAGCTCTGGCAATATTATCACAATCGTGACTACTGGTATGTTAGAAAGAATGAATTTTATTGTTATGGTCACAGACCAGGAGTTACCGGTATGTTTCATTGTTGTTGTTGGCCTTCAAATTGTTTCTGATCTATGGCAACTACATCAGAACATTTTCTTGGCTGGATTTGTTCAAAAGAAGTTGTCTTTGTCTTCCTCTGAAAAGAAAAAATGTGATGTGTTCAAGGTCAGCTCACAAGTTTCTATAGTTGATTGGGGAATCTCTAGGTCCTAATCGGGGCATGGGAAAACTTTTGCCCTCCAGGTGTTTTGGATTTCAACCCCCACAATTCCTAACAGCCAGTAAGATGGCTGGGATTTCTGGGAGTTGAAGTCCAAAACACCCGGAGGGCCGAAGTTTGTCCATGCCTGTGCTATTCCTGTGCTATTACAACATTCAAACCACTACATGACACTGGTTCTCCCCCTCAGCAATCATAAATTCTCAACACTGATCTAGATTTATTTCTCTATTACTATTTAGTATTCACAATCATTACTTGGGCCTTATTGCAGGGGCAATCTGGAGCAGAAATGCTCCAGACTGGCTCCAAAGGTGACCACACACTCCATCACCAATCTACTGCAGTGACAGAGTAGAGCCCAGGTGGTCCATCTGGGCCAAGATTGTTATGGCCCAACTGGACCATCACCTTACTGCTGATGTTGCGAGATAACTACAGCCATGGACATTGCCAGAAACAACTGTGTGGCCAGGGAGAAGGGGATGATCCCTGTGATAGGGATTACAAGGTGCAGATTATCATGGTGACATCCAGAGGGATGACACTGTGGGTTAAGGGTTATTAAGACCTTGTAGACAAGTCCTTAGTCACAAACATGATACTACTGTCACAACTGTAACTCTCCCTGAACCTACTTAAGCAAAGATCAGTTGCAAGGGGAGAAGGGAGATTCATTCTGCCAGTAAACGGAGCCCTGATTAATGACACTTTTGTCAGTTTGGGATAAGGGAGTCAAGCCAGGAGAATTACACACTTAAGTGGATTTAATAGATACAGAATTCCAGCCATAGTTTTCAGTTCAGGTCACACTATCTTGATAGGATATCACGAGTCTCAAAAAGATGGAGAATAGGACAGACGTGATGGAGCACCTTTCCTCTAAATAAAAGCTAACATGCATGTTACTTTGTAGTTTAGAAATAAAGGCAATTAAGTAGGAGGTGATCAAGATAGAGATTTACAAATCATGTAGAAAAATGAAGAGAAATCAATTTTTACATGAAGTTTAATTTATTGATGTCAGGTTTAATTTACTGATGTTAGGTCTTAATTTGATATTAGGATTTAATGTTACTTTTATATGTGGGGGTTTTCTGGGATTTTATGTTAGTATCACATGTTTTATGTAGGCATTGAATGTTTGCCATTGTTATGCTGGAATCCTCCCTGAGTCCCCTCAGAGAGACAGGGCAGAATGCAAATAAAGTTATTATTATTATTATTATTATTATTATTATTATTATTAAATATTTTATCTCCTTCTTACTGGAGAAAGTAATGCAAAACAGTGATTTTTCCAACCTGCGAATATGATATAAAAGGAATCACTGTCACATCACAAGGCAAGAGATGGCTACAAAAGGAGCTTACAGAAATCCACAGGAGACATTATATTAATGACTATTAGTTGTGATGGCTAACTAGAATCCTGAGTCCAAGGACAATGTATCTTTAAATACCAAATGCTACAAAAATTGATTTTATGCCATCCTAGTTACACGTATCTAAGAAGCTGTCTCAAGAAACATGTTGTTAATTAGATAGACCCTTTTTGTGGTTTTGCTGGGCTCACCCTGTCAAATAAAAACATAGCCTTTTGCAGTATTTTAAGAACCAAAGGAAGAATAGACTATTCAATAGCTATATTGAAACCACAGCTATTTCAACCTGCTACTTAATGCTTCTCTCCCAAATGTGTGCATTTTATAATTACAAATTTGTTTTCATTTATTTAATTTGTACGTAATTTGTAGTCTACCTTTCTCAAGGGCATATTGCATCTAACTAAGTTTTCTTTCAAATCTATTCTTAATAAAAAAAATGAAAAACCTAAATTCTATTAAGGAACACTTTAGACATAATAAAAATAATAAAAGCACATGCTTAGTCTGCCACAATTGTACATTTTTATGTCCAGTCAAGATGTAGAGCGAGTGGGAAGTATGTGGCTTTTTACAAACTTTTGGACTTTAGGTCCACTGACTATGCTCGCCCGGCTCTTCTTGACGGCCAGGCCCCCAGTGTCCGTCAAGAAGAGCCTGGCGTAGCCATGCCCACCTCATTCCCCAGCCATCCATCGCCCTTTGCAGGCACCCAGGGCCGGGAAAATGCAAGATTACAGGAAGAGCTGGGCGTGACCACGCCCACCTTGCAAAGCCGGGCCTCGCAAAGCCGCGGATGCAAAGAGGGAGGAGGTGGGGGTGGGTAACAGCTGTTCCTGAAGGCCACATCCCCAGCATTTACGATTCACTGGCGGATCATAAGGAAGATGGCAGACACGGCTTCGATATGGGCAAAACACTTCCAGGTTGCTAAAACGTGTCAATATCGCTTCTAATTATGAAATAATAACGAATAAATAACAAATAAAGAAATTAACTATCTGGATCACCCAAGCCTAGTATTTACACAGAAATTACAATCTGGGTCTGTTCTGGCAGCATGTGATGCAGCAATCTAGCTATCTAAAGGACACCCTATATTGAAGTCAGTGTGAGTTGTGGAAGCCCTGGGTATTCTCGGGTTCTAAAATAGAAGACATTATTTTAAAAAAAAATTCGTGTCAGGAGCGACTTGAAAAACTGCAAATCACTTCTGGTGTTAGAGAATTGGCCAGGAATTGGCAAAAATGTTGCCCAGGTGACATCTGGATGTTGATTTTTTACCATCCTTGTGCGTGGCTTCTCTCTTGTCCCTACACAGGAAGCTGGAGCTGACAGACGGGAGCTCACCTCATTCCCCAAATTCGAACCACCAACCTTTCTGTCAGCAGTCTTGCCGGCACAAGGGTTCAACCCATTGCGCCACTGGGGGCTATAACTCTAAACTCAGTGCCATTCAGAAATACTTTTTGAGCCAATTTTCCATTCTGCCTGTTGAAATGTGCTGCTAAAACTTCTGAATGTTTCAGAGCAATAATTGTAATTTTCATAAGATTACTTACTCCTCTAATGCTTTTTTTAAAAAAAATACCAAGCACCCAATATTGCTAAATATGTTTATTGATCTAGCATTGGAGTCTCTGAGAGAGAATCTCATGGATTCCTTTATAAAATAGTAGATAGTTTTACCTTCTCCATACTACAGGCTGAGGGGAAAAACACAAATGAAAATATCCTTGGTCTCCCATGTTTTCATGGACCTCAACTCCTCTCTAACCCATGGACTGACTTGTTTTTGTTAATAAAAAAGGAAGTGAAGGCTCCAATTCATCCTTCAAGGAGGTTGTCAGGCTTCCTTATATTATTTCACATTAAAAATGCCCATTCCTAAGAAATAATAAGAATTCCAGCCATCTTGGTTTTTGCTTTGTTTTCATTCCATGGAGGATCCTAGGGGCACTTACTCTCCCCTGCTCTAACATAGGACATCATGCATTTGGCAGAGCTACTGAAGGATGTCTTGACTTAGATACATGGCATATCCTCAGCTACTGACCTTACTTTCCTTCCTCATGCTCTTTGCGGCTAACAAGGCAATGGTTCATCATAACACCCTTCTCTGTTCATTCCTCTGTACCTGAGAGAATGTTCAATTTACCAGAAGTAGATCTGAAAGATATTAACGATCTCATCTTGAAAATGAAGCCTGTTTTTGAGAGTGTATTGAAACAAATTTCTTGGATCTTTCATGGCATCTGTCTTTTGCCCATTTTTGTTTCTCTGTTGTAGGTCAATGCAGTCACCTTAGATGGGATCACACCTCTGTTTAATGCTTGCTGTAGTGGTAGTGCAGCTTGTGTCAATATGTTGCTTGAATATGGTGCCAGGCCACAGCTGGAGAATCACTTTGCTTCACCAATTCATGAATCTGCGAAAAGAGGTAATAGCAAGATTTTGAATTATTTTTTTATATACAGCAATATACAACTCCTGCCTCCTACTAAAGATCACAACATGTTATCCTTGTTTGCAATGCCTATTTGTGCTTTATTTAGCACAAGCCCTCCAACCTATAGGCAGCTAGGCACTTACAAAACAAAGTGGACTTCTCTATTTCTGGCATTGTACACATGCATGTTCATGTTGGAAATAGAAACCTTCTTCAAGCTTCCCATGCTAGTTATTGTTATGTATATAATTCAGATTGCTGTCTATATTGTATGTGTGTATTGGTATGCAGTTTTACTTAACTCTATGTTGTGGGAGGGGCTGCAGAACCATGTGATCAGAACTGGAACTATTCAGATCTCAGACTACATTTTAGAAAGTGTATGCTTTTAGAAATCAGTAGAAACTGAATGCTTTAGGATGTCATTGGACTCTCAGACTGGAGAGATGCTTGAGACTCTATTAGACTCTCAGACCACAGAGATGCTGTGGACTGTTGCATCTAAGAAATATGCCCTGTGTTATCTACACAGAAAAACTACTTTAAATCCTATCTGTAACTGGATTAATATGCAAAGTACCTATATGCTAAATACATGAAGTTTGTGAGTAAACCAACTATGTTATTTTAAAGAAGTCTACTTATTTTTGGTCTCTTGGGAGCATGATTTAAACCGAGAGGTTTTAAGAGAGAGTAGATGTTTTTTGGGCAACTGAAAAGAACACTTCTGAAACTCTTCTATATATATAATGTTTTTGTGCATTGGCATATCTTTGTCCCTAACAGTACAAAGAGATAACTAGGCATATCAGTTTAACACCTGAGAAACTTAATTGCCTTGCATGAATGCTGGTGGATATTTACCACTAAGGAGAAGGTTGACTCAAGCGAGTTTTTAACTCTTCTTAGGAAGATTCCTGGTCTTTCCAAAAGGTTATGAATGCCATTTCCCAAAAGGTTATGGAGATTTCCATTTCTCAAAAGGTTATGGTTTCCCAAATATTCAGGGATATGTCATGATGCAGGACTAAAAAGGGACTCTGTGCATCTCGCAGTTCTTCTCCTCTGTCTCTACACAGGCCACAGAGAATGTATGGAGATTCTTTTAGCCAGTGATGTAGATATGGACCAAGAACACCCACAGCATGGAACACCACTTTATGTGGCCTGCTGGCATCAGAGGACGGATTGTGTCAAGAAACTTTTGGAATTAGGTATGTATGTGTATGGGGGAGGCATTCATGTATGCTACACCAAGACAGTTCTTGTTCATTGATTTTGCCTTGCTTTTCAACTTAGTAAATGACTATTGTTTTTTCTCCTTCTCTTTTATGTTAAGTAGGTGTGTATGTTTAGTTGCATACATGCCTACATATCTAACACAGAATTATAGAACCATAGCATTTTGAGAGACCACATGGACCATTCAGCCCAACCCCCTGGCCTTCAGGAAAAGTACAATCAAAGCACCCCTCCCCAATTATGTTTAAAACCTTTTAATCAAAACCTTTAATTTACAGTCATTTTTATGCATTTGATACAGCATACATTTGGTTTTGAAGGGACAAATATTCCCCAATGGCACTTTCCTCAATTAAAGCTCTAACACTAAGATGTTGCCATTACGTGCCTCCAAGATAGGATTTCTCACGACTTATGAGAAATCCTATCAGATAATAATAACAACAATAATAATAACATTTTATTTATATTCCGCCATTCTCACCCCGAAGGGGACTCAGGGCAGATCACAGTACACATACATGGCAAAGATGCCGTTTTCTTGGACGGGACAAAGACAGACAGAACGGAAAGGATATATATTGTGTGTTGTGTTGACATCCAGTTGAACATCCAGCTTTTCAGCACCTTTGAAAGTTGCCAGCCACAGGGGGGTGCTGTTTCTCCAATCTCTATGACGAAGAGCCATCAGGGCTTCCTCCTTCATTTTGGTCACCAGCATTCTTTGATCTTTTTCTTTATGGTGTCGTAAAATACCTCCCCTGCATTAGCGGTACCTAATTTCTCTAATCTCAGCTGTAAGCTGTTTTTGAACTGCTTAGATAATCAGTGAGCAGGGCTGGCAGTTGGGTGCTTACACTGACCCGGGGCTTCAAACTTGCAACCTTTGGTTGGTAGATCTTATCATTGCTGGTAATTTACCAGCTGTGTCAAACTCCCAGCCATTGCCTTGTTTTTCTTGGCAAGATTGAGTCAAAGGAAGTTTGCCATTGCTTTCCTCTGAATGTGCTGGAGTGTGATTTGCCCATGGTCACCCCATGGGTTTCCATGGCTTAGTGGAAATTTGAACCCTTGTTTCTGGGGGTCCTAGACTAACATTCAAATCAATACATCAACCTGCAAATAGTTTTTGAACAAACACCGTTAAGAAAAGAAGTCAGGATAGAAATTCAGTTTGCTTTTATATATATTCTTTCCAAGGAGCTAGTGTTGACCTGGGTAAGCATCTGGAAACACCACTTCATGCCGCAGCTAGAAAATCCAGTGTGGAAATTGTCAACTTGTTAACAGATTACGGGGCCAACTTGAAGTATAAGAATTCTGAACACAAATGTGCCCTTGATCTTGCTGCACCAAACAGCTCTGTTGAACATGCACTGCTGCTTCGAGAAGGTAAGATTCAAATCTCCTGCCTCATCTTATTTCTTGCAAATGGCTAAGCCTTAGGTTGTCCAATTAAATTCCTATGGGTTGTTTGGGGATACATCTATGTTAGGAGCCTAGGGGTTAGGTGCAGCTGCCCAGGGGTTGGGCGTTGGAGTGGATCCCATGCAGGATTTTTGAGTGATGTATCTACACATCTCCTTGGATTAAAATATATATATATTCTTCATGTGTTTGCCCTTTAGTGTTTTAGGCCTACAAAAGTCTTTTATTTTTAACTAGGAAGTAAACTGGAGCATAGGTTTCCTTCCTCTTTAAAGAAAAACATCTCCTGCATTTAAAATAACCCATGGTGACATGACTCCTATCTACCCTGTAGAAGATTATAGGAGCAGTGTTGGTTAAAAAACACTGTTTCCAAAACACTGTGGTAAGCTTGAGGTACTCAAAAATGACCAAGAAGTGTCCCTATGTCTCACAGACTGCACTTTTATAGTCCTGGATGCATGGCTCAGAGTTTCCTTAACTTTGAAACATAGCTCCGATTTTAATAACCAACTTCAGTTAATAATTAAGTATTTATTTCAGTTATCAAACTAAATCAGCGCTGGGTAACTGTGTTCAGATGATTTTACAAATCCCACAATCTCTTATCTTTGAGTTGCTGACTAAGGGCCCTTCTACCCTGCCCTATGTTACAGGATCTGATCTCTGATTATCTGCTTTAAATGGGATTATATGAGTCTCTACTAAGAAGATAATCTGGGATGAGATCCTGGAATATAAGGGCAGTGTGGAAGGGGCTTAAGACCAGTGGCTAGAAGCATTTTGGAAGGTTAAAGTTCTCCACTTTTATGTAAATGTTAAGTCACATCTATCATCTGCACTTGACTATGCTATATTCGCAATGTCAGGGTGAACTGTAATTGTCTCATTAACATATATCTTAAATCTATTTTGAATTCTTACAACCCCATTTTTTTTTCTTTTCCTGCAGGCCCTCCTCGACTTGCACAGCTGTGCCGACTGTGCATCCGAAAGTGCTTGGGACGATCGTGTCTTTATGTAATCCACAAACTACACCTTCCTGAACGACTTGAAGATTTTCTTTTGTTCCGATAGCTTTATAGTAGTTAGTGTGTTGTTGTTTTGTGACTCCAAGGCCCCTTCCACACAGCTGTATAAAATTCACATTGAACTGGATTACATGGCAGTGTAGACTCATATAATCCAGTTCAAAGCAGATATTGTGGATTATCCGCCTTGATACTCTGGGTTATATGGCTGTGTGGAAGGGCCCCAGGTCATTTCTGACTTATTGTGATCCTAAGGCAGTGGTTTTTCTCAGGTATTTTGGACTTCAACTCCCAAAAATCCCAGCCAGTTTACCAGCTGCTAGGGATTGTCGGAGCTCAAGTCCAAAACACCTGGAGGACCAAAGGTTGGGAACCACTGCCCTAAGGCAATCCTAGGCCACAATAAATTGAAAACAACTTGATGGCACAACACTTTTGGAGCTGCTGAAGTTTACAAACGATTTCCTATGTAAAGTGTGTTATAGTAATCCAGCTGGAAGATAAAGTATATGTTAATGTGGACAGATCTGACATTTCAAGGAATGGGCACAGGTGGCACACTTTTTAACTGTGCAAATGGACTCCTAACCAAAGCCAAAACCCAGGCATCCAGGTTCAAAGTTGTGACCCAATCCAGGACAGGTTGAATCCCAATTCCCTGGGCGTCAGAATTCCTTTCATAACTTCTTGTAGTTTGCAATGCCTCGATAAATGCATCAGATCTACAGTATGAACATTTGCTCACTTTAGCTGATGTATTTGGTAAATCCATCGTCATCAACAACAACAACAACAGCATCATCAACCTTGCCACCTAATTAAGTATAATTAGAGATCTAAAATTCCATGGTCAATGGTTCCATTTGACTTCAGAATTTACCAGCTGATGTGCATAGTGCCATTTCTTTATTTCTTTTTTTTTTTTTGGTCCATTTAAATGCAGACCAAACCAAGCCATTTCCTATAACTGAAGAACCCATCCAGTGTGACCACCTGGACCTGGCTGTAAAGAGGAAGAAGCAAGCATGTCAACTCTGCAGTTACAACAGGCATACCGCCTGAAGTAAAATAAACTGAAATTCATGTAAAATTGCTCCTGTTATTTTCTACAAAGATAAATGGTTCCAAATCTGTAACATCTGGTCCATTACTGAATGCAGTTATTTTCCAGTCTGTGAAAAACTACATGTTCACGGAAGCTATCTGTAATTTCCATTGCCATTAAGTCCTAAATGCATTTATGTACTTATCTGCATATAGCAGAATGCTTTCAGCTAAGATTCACATTTTGAAAGTTGACCTCCTGGTGGCTGTATAAATAATTTCAAAAAAGGATTTGCTAGTCTCTCCACAAACCCGTTGTTCGTTTTGCCGGATCATGTAACTTTGTCAATCTCTCATATCCAAAAGCACTAGCCTTTGTGTCATCTGAATGAGAAACTGGTCCACTAATAATCAATCCCAAATTGCTCCACACTAAGCACAATACTGCACTTTTATTTGTACCTGTCCTATTTGACAATCAGAACTTGCTGTCCAAGTAAAATCTTAGCCAGCTTATTTCTATAGGGGGAACAAAGATTGGGTTTCTATGGAGGAAAAATGGAGTGGCTGCTGCTACAGAAAAGCAGGGAACAAGTATACCTGCCAACATCTCATGCTAAACAGGGATGTACATAGCCAGACAACATCAGAGTGTGTCAAACTGGCAAAAGGTTTTTAACAAGGAAGAAAATACTAGGTAGGAGAGGATGCAGCAGTTTGCTTTTGCCTGATTCTATAGAAAAAGGCAAGATTTTGTCCCCTTCTCTCCTTGCTGCTGAGTTGAATGCAAAGTCTTTATGTAATTTGAACTTTCTTTCCAGCATATGTAGTATGATGAAATAAAAGGAAATAAGTGGGAGATGGAGAGAGAAACTGGACCATTTTTAAAGCATCTGAAAAAGTGGAACACTATGTAACATGATTTTTGTTCCTTGGTTATAAATGTAATTTCCTATTGGTTCTATCATAAAAACATGAAAAATGTTTATAAAACTTCGTTTTTGCGAGATATCCTTTAGCAATTTTGCTATATGTGTTGTCGAAAGTTTTCGTGGCAAGAATCACCGAGTTGCTGTGAGTTTTCTAGGGCATATGACCATGTTCCAGAAGCATTTTCTCCTGATGTTTTGCCTGCATCTATGGCAGGCATCCTCAAAGGTTGTGAGGTCAGTTGGAAACTAGGAAAGTGGGGTTTATATATCTGTGGAATGCCCAAGGTGGGAGAAAGAACTCTGTTTGTTTGAGGCAAGTGTGAATGTTGCAATTGGCTATTTTGATTAGAATTGGATGGCCTAGCAGCTTCAAGGACTGCCTGATTCCCGTCCGGGGGGGCGGGGGCGGGGCGGCGGGATATTTTGCCATAGTTTAAAAATGAATATCACTAAGGCTCCTTTTACAATGTTATATAATCCAGATTATCAGATAATCCACATTATCTGCTTTGAACTGGATTCTATGAGTCTACACTGCCATATAATCCAGTTCAAAGCAGA